TATGTTGTGCAATTGGGCAAGATTATCTGTGGAAGTGTCCCGGCCTGCGGGACAACAGCGAGGGAACGAAGAGACACCCTAGAAGAATGAGGCAAGCAAGGGACACGAAAGAATGGAGGCAAGACAGGATTCTGATCAAGCCTCAAATTTTATTCTTACAGCGGCAGAATATATACTGTTTTAGGGACGGGGCTGGGTAAAGGGGGTCTATGGGTAGTAACCTATTACTAGAGATTTAGTAGGCTCTGGATGGCTGTGCTTATCAGTGGAGATGTGTGAATTAGCAGCGGATGGCTGTGTGCTTATCAGTGGAGATGTGTGATTGTCAGCGGAGATTTAGCAGTTGTGTACTTAGGGTGAGGGTAGGTTATCTTTTAACTCCTGGCCAATTTGCAAGACACAGGTGGTTTCTGGTAATTAGGAGTTTCTGGAGGAACCAGAAACTTATAGTTCTTAAGATGGCTTTGTCTAAGCCAATATTTCTAATAGCTCCCAACATGGAATAAATACTTGAAGTTGGATTGTCAAATCACGGGGTATGAACTTCTAAAAGTTTTGCTAGCTATTCCTAAATTACGCCTCAAAATGGCCATATGAGTTTGCACTTCCACCCGTAGTGCAGGGGAGTGCCTCTTCCCTGGGTATTCTTCAGTCTGAGGCCCATCTTTTATCTCCCTATATATAGCACATTTCTGTCTGACTCTGACCCATATTTTGTCTGGTGCATGTTGGATTCATTCCATTGTATGACTAGCAGGGCAGTGTCTTACCTCGAGAATGCTCACCCTGACTTGCCCAGGAGGTGTCACACCAGAATCCAAGGGATGGACCAGTCCTTGTCTGGAACAACCTCTGATGTAGTCAGAGTTGCCTTAATTTCAGATCATGCAATAATGTGCTAAGGTCTTTTACTTGGAATAGATTTATCCATTTTGAGAGCAGTGTTATTTATTTCCTCACACATAAACATTCTTATCATCTAGAAGGTGGTCAGTGGAAGTATTCTGTTAGCACCAAAGATGGAATTTTGTATTCCATCTCTAGTATTTTGACTAAAGAAAAGGCTCCCTAGGGGTTTAAACGGGACTCAGAGCTGCAGGCCGTCCTGGCTTCCCATGGTGATCAGGTCTTTCTTTCCCCAGGACTCTTCTCGGGGGAGCTTCCAGAATGTACCCAGGAGCTGATGATTGACGTCACCAAGAGCTACTACCAGAAGTTTTTGCCCTTGACTCAGGTCTAATGTGTCTGTCTCGTGTTGAATTCGCTTGAGCTCTAAGATGAACTTGGGGACAAAGTGAACCAGTGAGCATCTACAAAGAGCTCTTATGTCTTTGACACCTTCTACCCATCCTTTTTTGTTGTTGGGTTTTTTGTTTAATTC